AAGTCATGCTGCCCGTTTTATTTCATCGAATTATAATTCACACGCTAGCATAATGCTCATAAAATCTTCTCTTGAACTCCCCCTTTAGTAACAAGAGGTAGAATTTCCCCACTTTCTATTCCACAAATTATACCACTACTTCTCCTACTTACACGGAACACTGTTATTTCCACCCGCTTCAACTTCTCACAGCCTGTTCAACTCCAACAGCATTCAACGCCTTCACGATTCGACCCTTTCATTCAATAAATTATTGCTGCTGGCAGCCATCGAAAACACGCAGACTGGAATTGCCTACTGACGCCATTGCCCTTAATATGAACTCCAAAAAATTTAAAGGAGAACTGACATCAAATTTTAAGCTTGAGATGTGCCCATCATTCGATCACTTGGTATGCATAGGTCTTCTTGGACAAATTTGAATAACGTCCATCGTGTCGAAGTTATTTTATTTCGACATCAAACCTTGGTCACACAGCGTAGAAAAGCTAAGGAGAAAAACGAAAAATAGACTGCGACATCGACACTAGTGCTACGTGTTCGGTGTGGTACATTGCACAAATATCATCCTGAGTGACGATACGCTAGTAACGATGATGTCGACGATTTGTGAGTGTATTTAGAGCTGATTCCCAGCCATGCTTTCACTAGTGGCCCTCCTTGCTGTGTTGAAGCGTGCGTGCGATCCATCGTGTCGCATCTACTGATTTGTGTTGTGCTCCACTGCGTGTGAGTACAATCATTCATAGCAACAATACGTGCCAGAATGTCGGGGAACCGCTGCGTAGTGAGAACCTCCACGTCAAGGCGCAGAAAAAGTGGAAAGTGCATGGCGTTTTATGCCTTTCCAAGCCACGAACCTCAACGCAGCCAGTGGGTTCACTTCGTGCACGCCGTTGAACAGAGAAACTGGACAGCTGTAAAGAACAGCCGAATTTGCTTCCTTCACTTTGCGGCGAGCTGCTACAGGGTAAATCCTGTGTTGGCGAACCAGTTGGGTATCACTGGTTGTACGAGGCTTCCTCTTGAAGCCGGAGCTATTCCTACCATGTGCCCTGCTGCAGCTAAAAACGGCGATCCACTCGCCTAACGTCCTTAACATGAGGTGCGTAGTTGGTGTTCCTGAGCTCCGACAGTACGGCCAGGACTGATAAATACATTGCATTTAACGCGGAGCTTGCCAAGCAAGGATCGTTGTGAATCGCGGCGTCATCACTTGCCGATGTTGACCATGATGATGGCGCAAACAACGATGTTGGCGACAGAGGCATGTCTACGCCTTCAGAAACACAGATGGACTAACCGTACGTGCGCTCCTAGCAGATGAAACGCCAGCATGATATCACTTTTTTTTGTGAAAGCAGCATCAGCTGTGCAGCGGCTTCGACGTGGCCGCGAGGCAGCGCTGCCAGCACTACAATATGGCGAGCTTTCCACTCATTTCGAACCGCGTTCGATAGCGAATATATTAATCAATATTACAGATACTCATTCATCACTCAGATGCGTTTAGGTCGGAAATCGCTACTAGGGGGTCAATAGTTACTCGTTCACGCAAAAATTTTGACATCAGTAAATTTGATGTCAGTGCTCCTTTAAGCATTTTATAGGCACGCTTTTTTCTTAGATAACTTCAGCTGTGCACTTTTATAATTGCATGCATTTTTATGCATTTTTGTAACTTCTACAATTGTTTATAATCATCTGTTTCAATTGTTTTTAATTCCTCTATGTAATTGCCCTATCTTGTAAGAGCTTTCTTTGTAATTGCCCTATGCTTTAAATTTTCACTCGCTCACAATCTTGTGTCAACAACTTTTTTCCAGCGATCATTAGTACTGATGTGCTCTGTATTTTCTGCATTTCTGAAGGGAGTTGTATGTAGAGTTTGTCCAATCATACGTCCCACAAACTCTGTAACCGCCCCCCCCCCTTTATGTAATGCCCTGTTCAGGGTCCTTGAGGGTTAATTAATGATGATGATGATGATCACCTACTTTTCGGCACCTTGTTGCCTCCGCATGTTATGCTGAGGTAAGTTTGAGTCTGCGTGCCGTTCCGCAAATAACCGGGGACAGCCGATCTTTTTCAATAAAAGGGATGCACAAGCTTTTTTACGAAAACGAACATAAGTTCCCCATGGCATCGCGGTAGAATGCACGACAACGCAACACGAGAGTGTTCGAAAATAACCAGAAATAATGACAAAGGTGCCAAAGGCATTAGAAGAAAACTAGAGATAAGCCGGGAACTAGAAAAGGAGTATTAGAGATAAGAGAAAACGGGAAGGTGGTGTCATGACACCTGGACGCAACAACGTTTGCAGCCAGTGGCTGTGGTCGTGTCATCGTAACATATACTTGTCGGGTGGGGAACAGAGCACCTTTCTGTGTGAGTGTCGCCAACTAATATGCACTCACTTGGATATTCTCCTTGGAAATTATCGCCGACAAGGTTGTGAAGCAATTGTCAAGTCGTTTTATTCTGCAAACGTGTACAAAAGTAATAAAAATTTTAAAAAGCCAGGATCAGCCCTAAATTGAAAAAAAAAAAAGCTTTCACACATTTTCTTCCAATGATGTGTTCAGTGTTGAATGTTACGTTGAATTAGTTGCATTATCATAAGAACATCTTGACGGGAAGAGATAAAAACATTCAAAAACTCAGGAATGCAAGCAATTGTGTTTGCATTTTTTAGCCTTTCATTGCTCTTTTCTTTTCAAAGTTTTCATAATATCTACTTCATAACAGCTCGCTCAATTGAAGTTACAGTCACTGAAATTTCAAAGATGCTTGAGTCCGCTTTTATGAGATTACAGACATGCTAAGTATTATTTTGTGGCTGTTGCATCTGATACTGTATTGTATGAATACTATAGACAAGTTTGGAGAAAGTAAAAGTCCATCGTATTTTGAGTTAAATGAACAGTGGCAACTACAATTGCTGAGGTTACTTATTCTAACGAAATGATTAAACCTGAAGCGAAATTTTCTGAAGTGACATACTCACAGAGTTTATAGTGCCCCGCTGCGGTGTTCTAGTGGCTAAGGCATTCTGCTGCTGACCCGCAGGTCACGGGATCGAATCCGGGCTGCGGTGGCTGCATTTCCGATTGAGGTGGAAATGTTGTAAGCTCATGTGCTCAGATTTGGGTGCATGTTAAAAACCCCTGGTGGTTGAAACTTCTGGAGCCCTTCACTATGGCGTCTCGCATAATCAAATGGTGGTTTTGGGATATTGAACCCCACATATTAATCAATCAACCATTACTATAATGAATTTTGATGCATTAGAAAAGGTGTAGCTCTTTCAAATTGGTTAGCTATGATCTTGTAGGATCCCAGTAAAATGTGCTCAGAATTCTAACTTCCGTGAAAACTGTACTTCCAAGAAAACTGATCGGTGTGCAAAGTTGCATCTCAGGCAAGACATTACCGAAAATTTGCAATGGCTGCAGGTATGTAAAAGCAAGATCAGCAATTACCCAATGGGCACATGCTAGACAAATATTAAAAGATTTGACCGGTCACACAAAGATGCATGCACTCAATCGTAACTACCGCAAGTGCGGGCATGTGATTCTGTGGGCACTCGGGAAACCAGTTGCCCCCTCACCCTATTGGCATCGCAGCAGTGGTCTGATTAACTAGACCTGTCACGCTGGTTTCTGAGAACGCGGCAGGTCATACCTGCGCACTTTTTCATCCAGTGGCCGTGGCAGTGCAGTAAGTTTGTTCCCGTTGCTTTAAATACCCTCCAAATGGTTTTGTGGGTTGTAATTTATACCTGCTGAGTGTGCAAATTTATGTGATGCTTGTGCTGCCTTAACTGAGAATACATTTTGTTTGTGTTTTAAACTCTTGGTTTTAACTCAATCTTTGGACCACAACCGGCATTGTTCGTGCCTTAAAAAGACCTACATTTAAATTGGGCATGCTTTCATTGTGCAGTTTCAGTGGGCTGATTAATCAGTCCCTTGAAATCTACCTGGCGAATGCCTCCCCATCATCAGGATCAGCGACACTTTTCATTTCAGTTGAATCAAATCGGGCAGCATTCATGGACAGTATTGAGGCCCACTCTATGAAAGATTCTCACTCCTAGGGCAGACTGTTCACACGTGTGGTGCAAAAGATACTTCTAATAACTACTTCGGTATAGAACCTATGATGGGCAACTACCAAACGCATTATTCATGGCCCGACTAGAGTCACTGTCGCCGAAACCATTGCATGTGGAAGCGCTTGTCCAGGGATGAGCTTTGGTGCCAGAGCAGGCACGAGGTGAGCTAGGCCCGAGATGCTGTTTCGGCAGCACGCATCAAGCCTGTTGTGACTGGCGCCTGAGCTGACGAGGGAGCGGCACTCTTTGGATCTTCAAAGAAGTAGCAGACCGGCTGGCTGCTTATGACCGCCAGGCATTGTCCCTCCTAGTCAGAGGGTGAGACGTCGTGTCGCCACGACGCCGTAAGTGGTTCGGGAGATGACAACGAGTACAGCATCTTTCTTGAAAGAGATCACGTGGGCCGTGCACGCTTGTCCCCCTCACCAGTTGTGTGTGATCTGTGATTGGACAGTACCATCTAAACTTGTTCCCTGATCTAGGGATCTGTAGAGGAACGCCAGATTCGAAACCTCGCCATGTAAGAAAGAGCTCGTCATGTACGAGAGCTCGCCTTGTATATAATGTAAATAAACCCTCATCAAGTCTCTCTTCCTCCTGCCTCGACAACTTCATCCCGAACCTCCGGTGCCTGCAAACCCCGGTCGTAACAAGCCGCACCTTCTTTTTTTATCCAGCGGCCGTGATATTACTATAGCCTTCTACTTGACTTTCAGTCGAGCTGGAGTGTAGAGATGCACACATGTACTTGTTTGATGACTCATGTTCTTTGCAGTTTCTCTTGTAATACAATCGTGACATTGCTTGTAGTAGACATTCGAATGTCTTAAGCAACCGAAAAACTATGTGAAGCAATGCTAGTGTATTTATTGTGCAGGGTGCACAACTCTATTCCCCGTCTCCTGATTAACTTGGAGAAATGTGGACAGGACAACCTGGTCAGCAAGATCCTAGGACTTGGGTGTGGCCTTGACTTTGACTCAGAGGCAAACTTCAGGCAAGTACCCACGGCAGTTTTCAAACAACTATGGTTTCACTTGTGCACATTTATGCCAAATATCCAAAACCAAAGTAATTTAGTTTTCAGAATGCTCGTGACACTGTTACAAGTAATTCACATAAATCACATCACATTTGTAAACCCTTGAAGGTGCTATCACAATTAGGCGTCTGTGTTTTGTAGGAAAAAGTGCGAGCTTAAACATTGTGTATTTGAAGTAAACAAACAAAATCTAGCTGTATGCTCTGGTGGATAAAATGGCTAGGTGACACTAATGGTTAGCAAACACTACTTCTCTGGTTCACGTTTAACATATATAGTGCTGCTCTTCGTAATGCAATGTGTGCAGCGCTCACTGCGCTAGGCCAGGTTTGTCATGAGAAGTAATTATGGCTTTGCCGTGCACAAAAAAAAAACTGAATTTCTTGAATTTATGGTGCTTCTTTCCACACAGATAAATGAAAAGTGCTGGTGGGGACTTGAAACCCTATATAGTTTAACCTGGGTATAACGAAATTTATAAGTTCCCAGAAAAATTTGTTATAAAGAGGATTCCGTTATATGCAGGTCCGGTACAAAAATTTCGAAAATAAACGTGCAAATAAAGAAAAGGAAAACTGAAAGCAGAGCTAATCCAAAACACTTATGTTACAGTAAAAAACTGCGTTATTTTTGCAATAGCAGTTATATAGACATTCTCGGCAAGCTTTGCTGTCACCGCCATGTTCGTAACATGTCCAAATTGATAACATGCCCCTGTGCATCGTAACTTTCACGAGCGGGTTAAAGCACGCGAACGCTGCTAAAGCAGAGATCAACTAAGATCTCCTGCGTGTTAGAACTGCCGTTGAAAGTTCAAACAGAAATGAAACAACATAGGGGGAGGGGAAATCACTCGAGTAGCAATAAGGAACATGGATTCTAAGGGCGGTTGCAATAGCTGGCTCGCTTTCTATCTCGGCGAGTATCAGCACAGTTTCAGCGCGAATGGATTGTGTGAAAAGAGCAAAGTGATTTTCATGCGCCCGGCAAACGCAATTGTTCCAGTCAATGTTTGAAGGCACGCGATTCTCCTCACCGAAAGATAAGCACGCACACAAGCATCTATAGCCCCCCCTCTTCATTCGCGGGCCAAAGTACGTGTGGGGGATAAGCGCTCGTCGGCGCATCGTGACGAGCTGAGTGAGGAGCGCGGGCGGCTTATTTTTTCTTCTTTGCTGCATTTTCGTATGTATAGGTACGTATACATATACGGTGAATGAAGGCGGTTGCAGCAAAAGCCTAGACTATCCATATACATCCATATACATCGCCAAAGTACGTGTGGGGGATAAGCGCTCGTCGGCGCATCGTGACGAGCTGAGTGACGAGCGCGGGCGGCTTATTTTTTCGTCTTTGCTGCGTTTTCGTATGTATAGGTACGTATACATATACGGTGAATGAAGGCGGTTGCAGCAAAAGCCTAGACTATCCATATACATCCATATGCATCACGATGAAAAAAACACAGACACAACATGGATACTGTGGAAAACTATTCGATAAAGCACCCTCCATATGCAGCGCGTCCCCACATATGTAATGCTAACTAAAAGTGTAGCACTGCCAGCGCGCAAAAGTAGTTTTTTTTTTTTTCCGGTTTGGAGTTGGGAGGAGGGAGCACACCCACACATGTGACCGCGGCGGAAAAAACGGGGGCAATACCAGCTCGTGGAGCGTAGGCCTTCCTGCCTGCCTCACACGGACGCAGCCCGCGTGCCCCCTGCCGCCGCTTCGGCAGTGGTGGTGCAGACACTGACAGGCTCGTACCAAAATGCCAAAATGCGGAGCAAAATTCTTAGATTTTCAGTGGGGAAAATTCGTTATATCACAGTTGTCTCCCGCAGTTACTTTGTTACATAGAGGTCGCAAATACATGTGCTTCTATGGAGCGACGGCGGGGAATAGAAAAACTTCATTATATCGAGGAATTCGTTGTATGGAGGTTCATTATAAGCAGGTTTAGCTGTACTGAGTAAAGTTATGATTGCGGGGTTAGGTCATGAGTATTTTATATTTCTTTGCTGTCGAAGGACTTTTAAAAAATTACCAGCATGCTAAAGTGCAAAAAATAGTCTATATCAGGAATTCAATGCTGTAGACAAGTTAATCTTTGAGACAATAGAACTGGTATACCGTATTTACTCGCATAATTATCGCACTTTTTTTCTGAGAGAACTGGTGAAAAATTAAAGGGGGTACGAGAATTATGTGGGGAAAATTTTCTGCAAAAACATGTAGGTCGATTAAGAAGATGCAATGGCTTCAAATCTGGATTCCCAGGCCAGCAGCTAACTACCAGCTTTGAGAAGTATTGATCTAGACTTACCTGAACAATGAAACCACAGGTTCAACACAAAGCAAGGTTTATTTGAAAACATTAAAGCCAGTGTCTCAAAGGTCATCGCATGGACTCTTGACGTAATTAAGAAGTGCGGCTTCAACCTGTAAGCCTGTCTTAGGCGCACGAAAGACGCGACACATCGTGTTGGTGGCTTTCAGCTTCTGGTGCTGCTATCGCCAGTTGCAAACACAGAACTTTTCGACGTTGAAGTGCCTGCCGGCGCCTCTGTTGCCATTGTTTTGTGCATCATCAGTCACTTTCAACTTGAAAGCAGTCGTGTATAGCTTCCGTATTGACCCATTGCATGCATAACAACAAACACAACGTATGCTGCACGGACTAGCACTACTAGCATTAACATGCTGCAACCCACAACCGCAACGCATACTTGGCTTTTTGGCTTGACTTGGATTAGATTAGGGCTTCTTGCATTCATAGTATGCATGATACCATATTTACTCAAGTCTAGGTTGACTCCGATTCTAAGCCGACCCCCTCGAGACTCCAAAGCTCATAAAAAAAAATTTACCTAGAATGTAGGTCAATCTAAACAGCAAAGACAGCAGTCACAAAGAGAAAACATTTATTACCCATAAAGATGAAACAAAGCAGTTGGTTCATGATGCAAATAACTCGAGAAACATACAGCCGCTGGTTCTGTTTTGTGTGTATTGTAGTCGTTTAACGTGCTGCTTCTAGTTATTTTCATCATAAAAGATTTTATGCCTGCGGATGCTGCGCTCATTCCGACTCATCGTCGCTGCTTCCCTCATCGCTGACTTTTTTGTCACTGTCTTCAAACAGTGTGCAATCCTTGCTGCCATCAAGTGCATTGGCTATGCCGCTCTTCTTGAAAGAGCGCTCAATTAAAGTTTCTAGGATGTTGTTCCATACTGCAACAGTAGCCCCTCCAGCGACACACATCTTTTTCGTCCATTTCAAAGTCCCGCCCAGCTTGAACGTTGGATGACAACTCCGGGACTAGGACAACTTTTCTTTTACAAAGTGACACTATAATTACACTGCCATTTCGACTGCTATTGAGCTACGCCACACACGGATCACTCAAAGTGGGACTAGAGGTGTTTTCGATTTCGTTGCACCGGTTGCACCAGTTCAAGAAGTGTAGCATTTTCTTCCCCAATTAGCTGGTGCTGTGCATGCGCTGTGCACTGGCTCCCGCATTTTGTCAAGGTACAAGCATAGTGCTGCACAAGTTCTCTGCCGGCCTGCACTTGCTCAAGAGGAGGTGCAAAGAGGTGCAGCATGGCATGTGCCTCTGCCTCTTTTCAAGCTTGGTACAGATGATGCTTCATGCTGTTCAGGGCATATGTGCGAAAAAGGATTGAGTTAAGCTTGTGCCACTGACGGGTAATATTAGCCGTTACTTTTTGGCAGCTATTGAGGCGGGTCGTTTTACATGTATGTTTCATGAGCAGAAAAATCCACCTAGGTTGGCTGCAGTAAGAATTGTAAAACAAAAAAAAAAAGCCAAATAAGTAATAAAGATGTAGCTCAAGGTGCAAGCTGTGCGCTCACTTCATCTTTGCCAAAGTGTGAAGCCCATGTGAAAGGAAGCCTTCAAGATAAACTGTGGAATTGAAACAGGTATTCAAGGGAGCTTGCATACAATTCTTAACACTATAGCGTGAAGAAAAGTGGACCTGTCGGTCAAAGAACCTCCGAACTTTTTCACTTTTTGTTGCTCTATGGGCATCGCATGCACTTCAATAGAAGGCCGACAGTACAGGATTGTCTACTAAACTTCTAAATCATCGTTCTAGGCAGTCTGAACAGTCTCTTGAAATCATGCTCATGGAGCCGTCTGACAGCGTTTCTGTACCCGAGAACATGAGTGACATTTTCACGTACAACGAGCAGGCAACCAATTCAAAAACAAACCCCGCCAACACCTCCTTGATTATCATAATTATCGCCATTCTCGAAATTATTGGTGCTGTCGAGCAGTTTTTTATAGGGCAGCTATGAAGACAGCCACCGCAGCAGTGTGTTAGGTAAACAACACCATCAATACACGCTACGTTGCCTGTTCGACCATCTCTGCCTGCACTTGCATTTTCATTTTGGCAGTAGCCACTGCGCTGCAGTGTCGCGGCTGCACCTGCACTTGCTGAACCGGTGCTGCACACCTACTTCGCTGGCACTGCTGTGACACTTTTCACAACTAATGCTTGCAGTGCAAGACAAATCGAAGAGGCCTTAGAAATGACCAGACTCACCTCAACTATTGTGAACTAGATAGGGGTAATGGGATGACCAGAGAGCGAAAACGAAACACTCCTTTGTTTGTTTGTTTGCAGTTTTAGTGCTTCAAAGAAATGTTTCGCATTTAAAACTGCATTGTATGAAAAATGCTGTGTCAAGACAGATAGAATTACAAGCTCATAGGAAAAAGTATGTTGGTTTGCTAGCACCTGCTAATGCGGACTTTTCACATGGGCCACAAAAATAGAAATTTCACTGTCTAGTCCCTCGTTGATCGGTTTCAGATCATTAAAATCACCTCCTAAAATAAATGTTTGAGATTGGGCAGTATTTTGGAGAAAATGACGTCATCGTGCGGCCGCCAGCTGCTCCCTGCCGTCACCCTCCC